CAAACGAGCGAGCCTTTGCAGCTGCAGGCCGATATCCTCGATATCGCTGTGCGCCCTGACTCTTTACAACTGGCGATTTCAACGTTGGATGGTCAGCTGTCTTTCTGGTCCATCATGGATGCTGAGCAGGTGTCTGGACTGGACGGCCGTCGTGACGTTTCCGGTGGACGCAAGCTCACTGATCGGAGGACGGCCGCCAACGTGGCGGGCACAAAGAGCTTCAACACCATTCAGTACAGCACTGACGGAAGCTGCTTGCTTGCCGGTGGCAACAGCAAGTACATCTGCCTGTACTCTGTTCATACTATGGTTCTTTTGAAGAAGTACACAGTCAGCGTCAACCTGTCTCTGTCTGGAACGCAAGAGTTCCTCAACAGCAAGCTCCTTACCGAGGCCGGCCCCGGCGGTCTGATCGATGATCAGGGCGAGGCCTCGGACCCCGAGGACAGGAGAGACGACTCCCTGCCGGGCTCCAAGCGCGGCGACCCTTCTGCGAGGAAGAGGATGCCAGAGGTCCGCGTCTCGGGCGTTGCATTCACACCTACCGGCACGGCCTTCTGCGCTGCCACAACAGAGGGCCTGCTCATCTACAGCCTCGACAACCTCATGCAGTTCGACCCCTTTGACCTCAACATGGAAATCACCCCCGCATCCACGCTCGCCGTCCTGGAGAACGAAAAGGACTACCTCAAAGCCCTGGTCATGGCCTTCCGCCTCAACGAGGCCGGCCTCATCAAGCGCGTCTTCCTCTCAATACCGCACACGGACATTGCTCTGGTCGTCCAGGATATGCCCATCGTCTACGTTCCGAGGTTACTGCGCTTCGTCGCGGCCCAGACGGAGGAGACGCCGCATATTGAGTTCTGCCTGCTCTGGGTCAAGGCGCTGGTGGACAAGCACGGCGCCTGGCTCACGCAGCACAGGGGCAAGGTGGACGTCGAGCTGAGAATCGTGGCCAGGGCCGTCTCGAGGATGCGCGACGAGATCAGGAGGCTCGCGGACGATAATGTGTACATGGTGGACTATCTGTTGGGCCAGGCCAGCAACGAAAAGGAGACGACCGGTGTAAAAATGCTAGACTTGGCCGCGTTCGACGCCCCCGCCAAGACTTTGGCGATTGGCGATGCGGATGAGGGCCAGAGCGATTCCGACGGAGATGAGTGGATTGGGCTAGAATAAACCATAGATGTTACTACAAATGTATACCCCCCGTTTTGTCAAGCTGCCATGATTTTGCTACTGTTACACTTATGTCGTCCCATCTGATTCAATTACAACCTTGATATCGTCCTGCCACCGTCGGCTAGTCAATCGCGAGCAGGGACGTCCTAGAAGCAGGGTCAGTATCATGAATTTACATTCCAAACGATGATTTTTTGTCTCACCTTCCACGCCTCTTCAAAGCCCGCTGAGCGAACCCATCTCGTCTCGTCATGTTCAGTGCTATCCAACAACATGTAGGTGAGGTTGAGCCACTCCCCATCCTTGATCTTGATCCAGGGTTTGTCGCCATACTTTGCTGAAAGGTCCTGGCAAATCCCAAGTGCTCTGACCACCTTGATCGTGTGGCCGTCATCTACAAAGTTGTGAAATCTTGGAAGGAGGTCTGTAGAGTCCATCAGCCACTGTTCTAAGTGAGACGAAAGATGAAAAACTTACCAGTCGGCTTGGAGACCAAGTCCTTGCCCTCATCTTTGTCCTTTGGCTTGTACGACTTGACATCCTCTAGGCGGAGCGGTGGGCACCCGCGCGCCGCATACTGCACGAGGTCCATCCGGATCTTGTACTCCAGCATGCGCACCTTGTTCTCCGTCGAGATCCACGACATGGAGTTGAAGCTGAGGAAGATGGGCGCAGCGTTCGTGTGGTGACTGTTTACAGCATCAGCGTCTGACACTCTCGTCGCCAGCCTCTCCTAAGAGGGGAAAAAAGGATCACACTTACATCAAGAAGAAATCCCACTTTGGCTCCTTACCCGGCCGAAGAGCCGCGCCGCCAGCAACGTAAAAGGCATTATGGAACATCTCGGCCGTCCTCTCATCCAGCTCCTCGGGGCGAACCTTGACTTTGCTCGCGATCCGCAGCATCTCCTCCGGCGCGCGCTTCAGGATCCCGTCAAAGATCTTATTCGCATCCTTCATCTCAGCGGCGTGAGCAAGCTTCTGGTCTCGGCGGATCTCCTCAACAAGATCCGACATCAGCGGCATCGACCCGCTAGCTGCCGCCGCACGCTTCTCCGTCTCGTCGAAAAAGTCCTTGAGCTGGTTCTTATGCACCGCGGCCTGTGCCAGCCCCTCGGCGACGATGGCGGGCTGCTCCCACTCGACACCATACATGAGCTGGATAATGGGGTGCAAAAAGCCCGCAAACATACGCTGGAACATGTCGTCGGCGCGCTCGTCGCCCTTGAAGAGGTGCTCTTTCAACGCCGCCTCCCAGCCCCCGAGCCTCTCAATCTCGCGCTGGAAGAAGAGGAGGAAGTCTGGGTAGTGCTTTTCCTTGCCGAGGTACGCTTTTGCGCGGTCCCAGTCGTGCAGCTCATCTGCGACGGAATCACGTGGGGTCTGCGCTGGGCGCTGGTAGTCTGCGTTTTCCTTGTACGCCGCTTGAATGGCGTCGGGGCCTGCGCCGGTACCGAAGAGGGCTAGGACCTGATGAGGGATCTTGAACGATGTTAGAGGCTGGCTATGAGATGATCCGAGTATTTGAGCTCACGTGGTTGTGGAAGCCTTCTTGGTTGAAGAAGACATGATGTTTCTGTACAATATTAGCATACCGCCTACTCCTATGTAAGGTACAATTTGTCCGTACCTCGAGATCCTCCTGTAGTAGCTCAGATACCTTGCTCGCGGCAGCATCTTTCTGATCAAACTTCCACAGTCCCGTGTTCGTCACCGGAACATTGATCTTGTATGCTGTCGCCATGCTGATAGCTCTGATCTGGCTGTGTGAGAAAGTACGGTTTGCGCTGGGTGTGATGTGTTTTGAGATTCTCTTGGGAATCGTGGATGGTAATCTCATTTTACTTAGAGATGACCCTCGTCATGACATCGTGGGAGCGTTAAAGACTTTGGCTGAACCTTGATATGTATCAAAGACAGGGGGCCTCGAACCTCTGCAAGAACCCGGGACCATACGGCCGCTTACAAATGAGGTACGCGCGAAAGGGCGAGCGCGAGTGGTAAAGAATCGGAGGTGTTCCCATAGGATGGCTAGATGCGGCTAAGTCGGAGTGGCTCCCGGGCGGCGACCACGGGAGGGGTCTGTGGTGCGCATCGCCTAAACTCTACGAAGCCATTTCCCCAGACTTTTGACGTCATCATAATTTTGGGAGGAGGATTGGGTTTGGATGCCAATGTTACCTACCACATTCGTCAGACGATCGAGAACCGAACACCTAATAGTGGGCTGTAGTGTTAGTAAGCTGTGGTGTTAGTAGTCGGGAATACATCAGACAAGTGGCCAACAATCCCCGACAGACAAGGACGGACCGGAGAGTCGTAGACACATACCTCCGAAACTGTCCGCCGAAATCCCCACTATTCTACAGTCTTCGGTCTCCGTGATCTGCCGGCCTGGGAAGGTCTTCCACCGAGACCCGAGCCCTTTCTACGATGAATTGCAAGTTTACGTGTACCTCCGACAGGATCTCTGTCGGATCTGGAACGACAAGATGGAACCCAAATACGCTCGAGTTGCGGGATGAGAAACCCAAATGCCCATGGTGCTCTCACTAGTGTTGTTTTAGTAAGGTAAATCGACTGAAGTTGTGGACCTTCGTATGCCTGAGGGAGGGTGGATGCACCTTCGGTCTTGAGGCTTGAACGCGAAGGGCGACTATATCGTAAAGTAATTCGAGATTCTCGGTCACGCGCGAAGATTTAGGCATAACAATATGTACCATAACGACTAGCTGCACGAGGTGCTTGCTGTGCGCCTGCCCTTCGTTCACCATCTGTGAGCCAGAATATCACAGTCAGATACTACAAGATAAGAACAACCTAATTTGATATCAACAGGAATGCGTGTACAAGACCCAATTACAAGCACTCGAGCTCTGGTTATCTTGCCCAATGAATGAGAACATTCAGGCCGGCTCTTGCCAAGATCAGCCTCATAGCCTAGTCTCAGACTTGCTTACGCCTGGAGATGGGCAGGCTGCCTACATCAAGCACCACAGCGCCTGCCTTGTCTTGGCACCTTGCAGGTAGGCAATAGTGGTATCAATGTCAAGGAAGCTCGGCGTAAGAAGCAGGTGGTCTTAGTGAAGCGTGACAAAGCTCCACAGAGTTCCAAGAAGGAGCAAGGGGTCGATGGGCTATTCCAACTGGCAAACTTGAGCTTAAGTAACCCCACGTGCGGTCGGTCATTACATGACTTCTCCTAGATCCAAGTCACCTTGATCACTTGTACTGCTGTGTTTCATGATTAAGAGAAATCATCAAAGCCTCCACCAGAAGTCTTGCCAAAACATGCTCACAGCAGCGATCATTCCACAGCCAAGCCTTGTGCTTTCCCCAGAGAGCGGTGGGCTCTCAAATGGCTGTTCAACGACAGCCATCTCATCTAAATTTGTCTCGCCTCAGCCTCCCTGCCACAGCCTCAATGGTGATGGGTACATCCAAGGCTGACAGCCATGCCCAAGCTTCACAGCAGGTGGGCGTAGCCAGTAGTCAATCATCGGGCGGAAAATGTCCGCCTCAAGCTAAGACAGGGCTCGACATTTGTTCCCTTTCGTCCACCAGATTCTCCAGTCTGGTCACACAAGAGATGAGCACTGGTGGCGTGACAGACCAAGAGAAGGCAGCCTACGGACTTCGGCTGAGGTAAGTTTGCTCCAAGGCGATGGGACCAATTCTCGAAGTCGGAAGACATTTGCTGTTTCCCTCATACAGCCCTTTCCCTAACGCCATACTTCAGACTTCCGAAGACAACGCATCCCTTCTTTCTCTTTCTTCGTCAAAGAGGTCAGACCGAGTGTTTTCATACTCTATTCATCAATGTGTCGTACAGCGTTGTTACTGTTCTCTTGGTTGGTGGTTTCAGCGCAGTGTTGGAATCCCTTTGGAAAATCAAGGCTGATAATCCGCGATGACGCTCCGTCTCCTTCTGATTTCCTGAGGAGAGCTTTCCCTTCAGGTATGTCGAAGACTTCATCAGACACCTCACGACCGAGTGTCGCATTTTAACTTGAGTAGCAATCGTCATAGGTGGCTATGTGTATATAGACGGCGGCGAGGTATCCCAGTTATACAACGGCAAAAACGGGACCACTGCCAACCACCCGTCGTGGCCAGGTAGGGTTTACGTCCAATTCAAATTGAAATTAGGACACATCATTGACGTCTGTCGCTTTCTCCAGTGAACTCGACACTCTCCATCTGTCTCGAACAATCATGGACCAACTCTAGCGTCACGATGACATCCACTCCCAAGAACGGACCGAAGCTCAATTGGCAGGCCATATGGCGAGACCCATCCTCGACCGGATTCTACGTTTGGGGCGGCATGATGTCCTACTCCGACACGCCCCCGGCAAAAGAGTTATGGCATTTCAAGGTGGACGGTAACGGTGGTGGAACCTGGTCGCAGGTCACCCCCGCGAGCGTCGTCGCTTTCAGCAAGCTCACCCGCACCACAGAAGCCTCTTTCACACAGAGTAAGGATGTGGGATACTACTTTGGCGGGGTTGCAAACTCCAGAACGGATACCTCTACTTATAACAATGCTCTCGCCCTTCCTGGACTAATATCGTACAACATGACTTCGGGAGAGATAAAAAATACGTCCTCTACAGGGTTCGGTCAATATGGGACCTCAGTAAGAGGCTCATCACAGTTCGTGCCGTTTGGATCTGGCGGAATGCTGCTCTTCTTAGGCGGAGGCCAGGCACCAGTCTCGTTACCGAAAGGGAGCTGGGAGGAGATGGACTTCAACAAGGTCGCCTTGTATAATCCCAGCAGTCAGTAGACTCTCTTGGCGACGCGTGTTTCAACAAGGCACTGACACTTACTCAGCCGACAAGTGGTATACTCAGCAGACAACAGGTTCCAGACCGGCGACACGAGGAAATTTTTGTGCCGTGGGCGCTTCCAGCACCAATGACACGTACGAGATGTAAGAGAAACAACTTCCATCGTACCGCTTGACCATGATAGGTGGCTGGGACTAATGCTAGTGCGTTACTCAGCTTTCTCTACGGCGGCGGTAGCACCGAGACAGGCAGCGTCTCTGGCGATGTCTACGTCCTGAGCTTGCCCGGGTTTGTCTTCTTCAAAGCAGCAGGCTCGTCAGCCATTCGGGCGGGCCATACGTGCGTCGTCGTGGGCGAGGGAGGCCGCCAGATGCTTTCTATTGGAGGAACAGACGGGTCCCTCGGCTTCCCTAGGTCGTTGACAGACCCAGACCCCTGGAAGCTCGGGCTGGGCATCTTTGACATGACGGAGATGCGCTGGTCTGATGGGTATGATTACCAGGCGCGACCGTACGAGTCGCCCGACGCGGTCAAGCAGTGGTATGCCCAAGGGGGACTAGACTCCGTCGTTTGGGCGAGCGAAGAGGTCAAGGCCTTGTTTTCTGAGCGTAAGTGAGCGTGACTTCATTTTAGAATATGAGTCTATATCTCAAGGTATTGACCAAGCAGCAGCGGCGCCCACCAACTCGACCTCGGATCCTTCACCTACTGAACAGTCCAATGCGGGCAGCGCAACTTCGACTCCGCAAGGTTCTCAGCCATTTAATCCGCCTATCGGTACCATCGTAGGTGCCGTTGTGGGCGGTGTTGTAGGCCTCGTTCTTGTAATCTGCCTCGTAGTGTTCTTCCTGAGGAGGAAACGATACCAGGCGGCGCCGCAGCAGGAGACAGGCGGAACGCCTCCAGAGTACGAGAAGCCTGGCAGCGCGCAATATGGATACGATGGACCGGCCGGGATCAATGCACTACACGAAGGTTATACCGACCACTTCAACCCCGTCGAGTTACCCGCAGAGCATGGTGCTGCGGAGCTTAGCTCCACGCATGGCAGGTATGAGCTCGGCCAGACGGTGGCGAGGGCGTCCTAATCGATGTAGGAACGAGGAACGTCGGCAAATGACGAGTTGAGGTCGCGCATGAATTCAAGATCTCTCAGTCGCAGACATGAACAGTAGGGTCACATAATGTAACAACAGGGACGAGTAATGGTATAACAAACGAAAACTTTTTGAATTGAGAGTCCCTCCCTCTTCCTCTAGGAGGGGGACTCGATCATGGTATCACCAGGTTTTGTCTAATATTAAGAAAGTTCATCATCATGCGTATGTGTGTTGTGGGGTGTGGGGTGTTGTCGTCGTCGGTGGTAAGTCATCAATCTAAGCCTTGCGCTTCTTGTTGGGGGTGGTCTCGGCGTCGCCCATCTCCTCATCCTCGTCCTCCTCGTCGTCGGACTCAAAGTCGGCATCGGACAGCTCGCCGGCCTCCTGAGCTTGGGCTATCATTGAGAGTAAGTCTCCGTCTCGTCCTTCTTCGGCAGCGACGGCACCGTCGCGGAGGAACTTACTAAAGTAGTGGAGCGCCTCGGGCCACAGGTCGGTGGCGATGGCGACGGCGACGTCGTCGCCGTCGGGGAAGATCTCGAGCTCGAACTCGGTCTCGTCCTCGTCGCCCTCCTCCTCCTCCTCGGCGGTCTTCTTGCCGGCCTTGCGGTCCTCGAACTCCTTGACCTCCTTGGCGAGGGCGGCGGCACTCTCCTCGGCGGAGATGCGCTTGCCGACGTAGCCGAAGAAGGAGAAGAAGGAGACGCCGCCCATGGCGGTCTCCTCGACCTTCTTGCGGAGGGCCTCGGCCTCGGGGGTGAGCTTGCCGGGGGTGATGGGGCCCTGGTCCCAGACCTTCTTGGCGGCGGAGAGGAGGCCCTCGGTCAGGTCCTTGCCGGCCTTCCACTTGATGTCGACGGGCTCGGAGACGAGGCCGGTGTAGGTGGCGGAGTGGCGGTACCAAAAGGTCTTTTCGACGACGGCGTCCTCAAAGTAGTCGTTCTCGTTGAACTCGAAGCGGATGGTGAGGGAGCGGGGGTCGCCGCCGGAGCCGTTCTCGATCTCGGGGCGGGAGACGGAGATGGTCTTGAGGGAGGAGAGGAGCAGAGCGGCGTCGGAGGGCTGGATGTGCTCGTCGACCTCGGGGGGCGACTGCTCAAAGACGAGGGCCCAGAAGTTGGGGATCTTGGAGACGACGGCGGCGCGCTTCTCGTACAGAGGCTTGGAGAGCTCGTACTGCTTGCGGACTGGCGAGGGGTGTTAGTTGGGTGAGAAACAGAGGCAAGGTAAGGAAAAGAGATGGAAAGAAGACGATTCCGTCATCTCTTGTCCGGGGGGATGTGAGGGCTTGTGCAAACAGAATCAAAACATACCAATCTCGTTCTCAACGAGCTCGAACTCGCGCTCGAGGTCAGCGAGCTGCTCGTAGGTGACACCAGTCTCAACCATTTCAGTCATTTTGGCAGTATTGTTTATGTGTGTGTGGAGGAGTAAGAGAATAGGTGATGAAGTGTGAGAAGCGAGTGAGTGAGTGAGGAGAGTCAAAGAAGGAGGGAAGAGAAATGTCAAGAAGGGTGCTGTGAGATTTTTCAACTTTCTTTCGTGGCGGGGTAGTGATTACAAGAGGGAAAAAAAAAAGTTGGCGGGGTTGTAATTAGCCTGAGTCGCAAAGGATTTTGTTCAGAAGCAAAGCTCAGGCGGTGGAGGGGTGGGTTGGGCGGCACAAGGGGCAACGATGTCTTGGGTATTAAGTACCAAAGTGAGGTACCTTATCCAAGGCGTGAACCTGGGCTGCTTATCAAATTATTGGTACATGTACTATTACTCCTGTCTCGTATTGTTTGTTCGTTATTCTCCTATTGAATGGGTAGAAAAATCTGTTAAAAAAGGGACCCTGTGGTTCTGAATACGTGGGGGAAAGAGGAGCGAGGGGAGGGGTGAATGGGCCACAGCAGAGAGGCAACCGTAACGCCAGGAACAAACAGACAAGGGGAAAAGCAAATGAAGAAATTTTTCCAACAGGTCGCCTGCATCTCTCTCGTCACCTCGTCACCTCTCGTATGTGCTTGTGCTGTTTGGGTTTCTGTGACGCCAGCTCTCAAGGATAGAGGACGAAAACTGCAATCTTGACTGGCCATTGCACATTCGGGCGGCGGTGACTGATGTCATTGGATCGTGTCCCCCACGTCCCTGTTGATCTCGAACTTTTTGGAAATCCCAGACGCACCCAATTGGCGCCAGACGGAGCATTTTCCAGCGGGCCCATTGGACACTTGCGTTTGCATGGTGAATTTTTTTTTCTTTCGTTTGCTGTAAGTCCATCTTGACTCCTTGCGATCCAAACTCAATTGGGAATGTCTCTAGAGTACGCTATCGCCAAGAATACAACTCAAGCGTGCCTTGAACGTGCTTACCGCTAACCGAGCCACATGCTACCGTGGTGTCTCCCACTCGGCATTCTCAGATCATTGTGTTAAGCTCCCGCTCAATGCTGAAGACCGAAAAGCTAGACCCGATGGAAAGGATCCTCCTCCTTCTTCTTACCCAGTCGAGGACCACCGTGCCTGGACCCCTAGCGGGGTCTCGTCCGCAATAGGACCTCTCCGAACAACGATCTTCCATGAAAGTTTACCTTCCTCATCAGCAAAAATTTTGAAGAAAAAAAAAGATGAGGGAAGAAACAACAACAGCAACCCCCCCCCCCCCCCACTCACATGGCAATTTCTGAACTGGCTGCTTCTAGATCGCCATTTTTTCTTCACTCCTATCCACATTCTGTATTCGTGTCACCGCCCTACCCAGGCTAAGACGCGGCAATTGCCCGTGGGTATCCGCTACTCTGCTACCGTGACCGGGAAACCCGCTGTGAAGCCAAATGGTTAATTCATGCGTTCTCATTTTCTCACCAGCTCTATTAGCCGCGCTATTCTATACTGCGCGCTCTTTTGCCTTCTGTTGCTTCTTCTTCTCTGTTCTCTTATGGAGTCATGACAAACAGCAACCCACTGGGGGGCGGGTCGATCTCTCATTGCCCCTCGCTGCCATCACATCTTGCCCCTCCTCGTCGGTCCCTCTATTCAAGCACAGTCACTGGAGAGCGAGAGAGAACCTCTCGCTCATTTGCTAACGTAGATGAGTTGTGATGAACTGTGATGGGATGGAAGCAGCGTCAAGTTCTACTCCCCAACTCCTCGGACCAGTCAAGCATTGCCATGCACAAATAAGCTGCATCGCCCAAAGAAAAACTCCATCCAGCAGACGGAATGTCACCGTGAATCGAAAGCAAAAATTTGTCCATCCCTTTCCCCTAATTCTCGCTGGCATCATCCCAACAGCTCCCCCGTTGCTAGGAGACAGACGAACAGTGACATTGAATGGTCAAGCCCCCCCCCCCCCCTTTCCCCCAAAGAAAAATTCGAGATGGCCTGCCTCCACTATACCAAGGACTATTCTCGACTAGATTAACACGTGAGGACACTCCTCCCAGGGCTCTCCCCTTTCCTCAACTCGGCGTCGGGTAGACACACTTTTGAAGAACATGTCAAGGTACTGTGGATTTCACTGAGAAGGCTTCGAAAAACGCAGCCATCATGCTCAATGTCAAATGCGGACCGCTTCTCCGCTCAGCCTCGGGACGTTCGCGGAAGAAAGTGGAACCAGCCGCCGCCCATCGGTCCCCGAAAAGGATCCACACGAGACCGGGCCGGGCGGGCAGAACTCAGATAGTATACCGGTACCTTACCGCTCGTCAACCTGTCAGCCGCGGGAGTCCGTGCTTGGGGTAGGTCTTAGGTATGCGTGGTCCGTGAATGACGGCAAGTGCCCTGTATAAGTCCATATGCCTTCGGACCCTGTCTGCCATCAGCTGATAGACATCACATCTCTACTTCAAGTTTGGTATGCATTCACTCGCAATGACAGCTTGAATCAATGTGGAAACCAGCCAAATGTATCTTTTCTCGTGCATGCCCTAGTGCCGCGTCATCATTGTCTTGATTAACCTACAAGTTGACTATTATTGCTTGCGCAGTCCAGGTTTTGATCTCTTTTGTTTTTCGTTCTCTCACGCTCTCCCTCTTGTGTGATCACGACTCCTCTGAAATGCAGTGCTATCGCTCACTTCCTTGCTTGAAACCCACGGCCTTGCCGGCTTCGGTGCTCTTGTGTCCCCATGACAGTAACAACGCTTTGATACTCCCATAAATCATCAGATCATATGACTTTTTGTCGTAGTTGTGTAGTAAGGTGGCTGAGAAGAGATCCAGAAACGGCCCAATGACCACTCGTGTCTTGCACATTGCCGGGGGTATATCCAATACAAAAATCAAACGCAATTATGACCAATTCAATGTCTCCCATGAAATTCGCTCGCGCAAGCCCCATCATCCTCAAATGCTCTCCTTTTCTTGGGCAGTGGCCTACCACGTGATATGGGTAACACGGGACCGCATGTCTGGCATGCCGGTGATGATGCCACGAGTACCGACCTGGAGGTTGGCAAATCTGGCCCTCAGGTCAAAGTCCACCGCCCGAACCATGACGCGCTTCTCTTCCGGGACAGATCGCTTCGCTTTGATCAGTCCGGGAATCGCACTGTTCCTTCGATCATCCCAACGAGCATTGCCACCAGGTCCTAGCGGAATGCCCTCGCCAAAATCCACCGATCCGTGTCTTCCATTGGCGCCGGCTTGGGAGCCACGCGCGTCGGGAGACGGTGAAGATAAAGGCTCTTCCTCCTCAATCGTGGCAACCCACTGTCCAATTCGCGCTGTGAGCTCACTGTCCCACATGCCTTCCCGCCGCGCGCTGCTTCTCAAAAGCTGGATGGCCTGTCGCCGGATGACGGAATGCCTACATTTGGTGGCTACCACAAACAAGGGCGGGACGATACCCAGGTCGGCACTAAAGCTCGGCTTGATGTGGAAAGTATTGTACTCGTGACCGCCAAAGATATCCGGGGTATGATTGTGGCGGTGAGTACACTGCGAAGGGTCGGGACACCTCTTGGCTGCCGCTCGTCTCTCTTCATCGCCCACCACTTCAGAAGC